CATCGAAACAGATAACCTCCTTCTGCAAACTCATTGGCAACAGTAGGAAGAAAGCTCAGCTCTTGAACTGCTGACTCTGTACAGCAGTAAGCAAAATCTGAGACTTTCAGAGATAGTGGTGGTTTTAGAATTAAACTCCTCTAGTTAAGGGACATTTCAAATATCACACTCCAAAAGAATTAGGTGTCTTTTCCAACAGGTAGGGAAATACCAAGTATCTCTAAAATTTGAATGTCTGCTGGTGTGAGTCTGATCAAAATATCCCTATGTGCCTCTGATACAGAAAGAGGACTTATAAATCCAAGGTGGGTACTGCTGTCTGACTTCTGGCCTGAAGACAAAATAGACAGGTGAAAACCCTCGATTTTTGTACAAACCAGTCTTTCTAAAGGAATGATTTTTTGCTGTAAGTGACTTGGAAAATTCCAAAGAGAATGACATGGATTTCACATTTGCTTAATTTAACCAAAGTTCTCTCATTAATTAATTTAAAATAATAGGAATAGCCTCAGCAGCAGTAGTAGTAAGAAAAATAAACATATATATGTACGTATGTATTTTGGTGAACACTGTAGTAGTAGTAAAAATGCAAATAAACACATATATGCACATATGTAGTTTGATAAACACCTATAAAAATGAAGTATCATAGAAATGCTTGAAGCATGTAATGATTTTCTTTTGGTGAACTTGAGTTTCCTGGTAACTTTAAAGATGACTGGATAGTCACAGTTTGTCAGGAAAGTAAGCCAAAATAAATTGCGTCTTTGTAATATTCTTCAGTACAAAATGCTCTAGGGAGCATAAAAAGTGTAAAAACCCAATGCCTGTTCCTGGTGATACTTTAATCACAAAATAATTGCATTTTCTTGCAGACTATTTTAAATGAATTATTTTAAAATGATGAGATAATTGGTGGGTCATAGTTTCTGAGAGCTAACAGTGAAATGGCTCCTCTGTTATGCACAACTAGTCTTGTAAGCAGTATTAATTATGTCACATTGTTCCTATTTAAATGGTGAAGTAAAATGTAAGGAATGAATAATACTTCATATCCATTGCTATGATGGGCATCTAGCAGGTAGAAGATGAGGAGGAGTAAAACAGGAGAAAAACTGTGTTAAAAGATAATGTTAATGAAACTGTTCTATACTTCCCTAATCTCATGATTTTTTTTATTATTCTTCCATAGCCTCAGACCATTCAGCAAACTCTTCAAAGGACACTGCGGTATTTTGAGCATCAAGTTATCGGGTAAGTGTTAATGTGAGGTTGTGAAAGGTACATGGTAATGTTTTCCTCTATTCTTCCCAAGTCACAGCCTTGACTTGACAAGCTTGTTAATTTTTCTCACAAATTCTTAGAGATGCTTTGGAGTAACTATACATACTACAGATGTTAATGATAAATTGCTTTCCAGTCCTGCTTCCATGCAATCTTGTCAGAGTGCGACTGCTCCATTTACAGTGATGTTTCCTATATAAGGAGAAGAGGGAATCTTTTTGTAAAAGTGTAAAATCTATTCCAATTTGCTTTTCACAGAGCTAGCTGAAAATGCTGGAAAAATTATTTATGCTATGACCTGAGGTCCAAATCTTGCAAAATCCTGCATCAGTGCTTGTTACATACATACACAATTACATACTTGCAGGTTTTTGCAGAAGCAGGGATGAAAGCCTCCCCCTAAGAGTTCATTGAGAAAATTAATAGATGACTGAGGAGTAAAAGAAAGTAATAGCAACTATCATCATGAAAACCTAAGGTATTCTCCCGTTGATTAAAACAATCTTTCAGCCTTTTCCTTACCTGAACAAGTATTTTATTATCACAGATAACTTAAATTTCCTAACAGAGTCAGAATACAATGCCTGCATGTCTATAGCCATTAAATGGCTGTGCCATATGACAAATGAAGAATGCTGTCCTCTGAATTTGATTACACAGATGTAAAGGAAATTTTTTTCAAGATGTGTTGAGAGTCTTTTTAGAATTTATTGCATAGTTTTGAAGCTTGGTGTGCTAGAGGGAATTTTCCTTGCCTGTTTCTCAATGTTTGGTTAAAATTCAAAGGGAGCCCTAGCTTGGTGGGTGATATCTGCAATATTAGCAGTCTGGCTGGCACCCGAGGGCAGCAAGGGAGCAAGTCTTGGCAGGTAGTTGTGATGTCTGCTATGGGCACGCAGAGGGGAGAATCCTTCTGTCTGCTAATTTTTTCAGTTGCTGAAAAAAGTTGCTTGAAGTCTCACATTAGGGGACTTCAGAGAATGAGACAGTGCCTCGAGGAAAGCATGTGTGCAATAACAATGCGGCTTTTTATTTATGGCCACATGTGGCTTAGATATGCTTATTTTAATGGATAAAGTTTAAAGACAGGACACTCTGAAAGCCTGTTACTGCTGTGACCTATGATACACTTTGACTCAGTTTTTGAACATCAGTGTGAGTTTGTTAAAGTAGCACCTGTCTCCTATATTTGTCCTGCTCTGTGATATTTACTGTTGGTACACACTGCGGTGGGTCAGCCTTGGCCACCTGCCAGACCCCTACACAGCCGCCCTGCTCTCTTAGTCCCCCTCCTCAACAGAACAGGGGGAGAAAATAAGAGGAATAAAGCTTGTGGGTTAAGGTGGATACACCCTGGACTCTAACTCCTCTTGCCCTGAGCAGCACAGCGGGATGGGGATGGAGGCTGTGGTCAGTCCTCTCTGCTGCTCCGTCCTCCTCACGCTCCTGCCCTGCCCCAGTGTGTGTTCTCCACGGGCTGCGGCTTCCTTCAGGGCACATCCACCTGCTCTGGCATGGGGTCCTCCATGGCTGCAGGTGGATATCTGCTCTGCTGTGGACCTCGATGGGCTGCAGGTGGACACTGTGCATCACTGTTGGTCTTCTCCAGGGGCTGCAGGGCAACCTCCATTCGAGCACCTGGAGCACCTCCTCCCCCTCCTTCTTCACTGACCTTGGTGTTCGTGGGGCTGTTTCTCTCAGTTCTTCTCCTCACCCCTCACATCATCAGGAAGTGTTTTCAAATTAATTTTCCCAGAGGCACCACCTGCTTGGCCATGGGGCTCAGCTGTGCCCTGCGGTGGGGCCATCGGAGCGGCTGGGACAGGCTGTGCCCAGCACAGGGCAGCCCCAGCCTCTCCTCACAGCGGCCCTGCAGCCCCCCTGCCAGTGCCTGGGCGCTCACACCCCATACAACATAAATGTTCATCGTATCTCCTGTCCTGGTCACTATCAGAGGTGAGGAGTGGGCGTTGTCATCCGGCGAGTGGTGATGCTGCTGAAGAGGCCTGGCCTGCAGGTGTGGTGCTGGCATTGGGCCATGACTTTGGGCTGTGGGTCAGCTGGGACAGCGGGTGAGGACGTGGCTCCCCCAGCCACGTGGCCCAGCATCGCGGGAGACCTGGAAAGCGGCACAGACCATGTAGCTCGCTGCAGAGCACACCAGCAGCCCTTATCACCGGGTTTTTCTCCTCTAGGAGTAGCCCACTCTTGCCAGTATGCTTTATGCCACACAGAGAACCAGTTTCCCTGTTGGGGGTAACCTGATGGGAAGCTCGGAATCCTTTCTAGTCCTTTTCCATGCGTGCTGGCAACCCAGGTGCTGGGATTTTGCAGGCACTGACTAGATGAAGAGTCCAATCCTTGAAGCTGCTATTCATGATTTATGAACTATAAACAAAGTATGAAAGCATAACAATACTGTTAATAAAATACTCATTAGAAAAGCTTTTCTCTGTGCACTGGGCTGAATAAATTTTATATTTTGCCAAGTGCATTATCTCTCTGCTGCAATATTTTCTTCACTGGTATTCCCTCCTCTGTCCTCATTATCACCTGCATAAAGCTTTGTTTTAAACATAATTTGAGCTTCTGTTCTGTTTCTGTTGAACTAAGGAAAAACAATCCAGCAAAGCTATATCAAATAGAATATTTTAGATGGTGGCTTATTTCTTGCTGGTCAGAGCATAGCTGTGTGCCTTTCATCAGTGGTAGGATTATTTTTAATTTTTCTTTAACAGGCAATAACTTTATCTTTGATAGCAGTGAGTTGCAACTTGACATCCTTCTTTCTGCTGAGATCTTTTCAGAGGATAATTCACAGAGAAATCTAGATTTTATACTTGCATCACTAACGTAATGTGATGTGGAAGATTTATTATTCTTATTAGATACTCACCATTGCCTCATAAACATTTTGCTTGGAGTTTACTGTGCAACTTTGTTAAAGACAACACCCCAGTCGGAATGATGTATAAGACAGATATGTATGATACCCTTCCCACATGCCTCAGCCCTTCGGTACTATTTTTTCTTATGTCTTCATTCTCATTAAAGATAATATTCCAGATTCTAGTGTAATACTTGAGATATCTAGGCTACTAATGCAGTGTCATCTGTGTGTAATAACGCATGAATGGAAAGCAGGTGATGGAGTGGAGAAGAGGGAAGAGACAAGGGAGGCTAAATGCATCCTTTACCACCACTTCTGAAAGAAACATGTTGACCTTATGTTTGTGTGAGGATATGCTATAACTTTTTTACTTTTTTATTGTAGTTACAGAGATGCAGAGAAGAACTTTCACAATATATCAAACAGATGCTCCTATACAGACTGCTCTGGCAATGAAGAAACTGAAGATGTCTCAGGAATTCTCCAGTGTACAGCTAATGTACTTGGTATGTATTTTTTCAAGGTAATTTGTTTCCTTTAGCTGGAAAGGAAAGTTTACTGACCAACCTAGTACCAACAATGAACCAAAGAATTTTTGCTCCAACAAAAGAAATTTAGGATGTAGGCAGCTACATATCAGTGCACTGCTGCTACATTTATCTTATTTTCTACTTACGTTTCGCACCTTTGAGACAATGCAGACTGATTTGTCAGTGGAGTCAGTGGAGATGTATTGTGCAGTACCCAGTGATTTGAGAAGTTTCAAAGGCTTTGAGTCCAAATGGACTTACATCTGTGCAGGCCTTGATCTTGGAATTATAAGGGATCTACAGAACAAAAGATACTCATTATTTATGGGCCTGGTGGATAGAGGGCCTGCGAAACACAGGACAGGATGTTCCTGAGACTGGAAACATTCTGGAAACTTACCTTCATACTGAAGAATGCTCACTGCCATAAATTTCTAGAAATGTTGCTTGTCAAGAAGATATCATCCATCACTGAAGTGCTAGTCTCTTAATAGGTGTCACAATTAGATATCTGGCTATCTGCATCCATTCATACGATTTATCCAGCTTATTCTCCTTCCCAAGTTGTTGGTAAGCTTTACTGCTTTTCAGTCAGATCTGTGTTGCTGATACAGATCTACCATCAAAGGCAAAAAAAAAAAAAAAAAAAAA